TGAGTGCGTGAGGGGTGTGAGGGCCATGAGTGGCCTGAGGGCAGCGAGTGGCATGAGAGGCGTGAGGGCCGTGAGGGCGGTGAGTGCATAAGGTGGTGTGAGGGCCGTGAGGGCGGTGAGTGCGTGAGGCCCCCTTCAGATCGAGCATCTTTCTCAGCAAGTTTGGTGTTAATGGCGGGTTGTTCTCTAGCTTTCCCTATAATCGACACGAATTGCTGAGATCGGGTCCGGCACGAAATAAGCAAGCAACTCGGAGCAATTCGAATACGTTTAAAGCGGCTGCATCTAATCAGGGACGCAAAATTTTCACGTGATACCTCGTGCCGGTGATGATGACACCGAAAGACTTAGTTCTCGTTTGAAATCGATCGTTTTTTGGAAATAAACTGTTTCAGAAAGGTGAATTGGTACTCTTAACGGGATTTAAATGCATAAAAACACGTTTATAACGCGTAATTGTGTCTAAATAGTGCAAGAAAAATAAAATTTTACGATGACGATGGCAAATTGCAGCAATTGGTTGCTGCGTCTGATCGCGGGCGGCGCGTGTTGCTGGTGTAGCGACGTAAAGTTTCTGGCCGAAATTGCCCCATCTGAAGCTGGCCTGAGTGGCGTGAGGGCCATGAGTGCGTGAGTGGCGTGAGGGCGGTGAGTGGCGTGAGGGCCGTGAGGGCGGTGAGGGCCGTGAGGGCCGTGAGGGCGGTGAGAGCCGTGAGGGCGGTGAGGGCGGTGAGGGCGGTGAGGGCCGTGTGGGCCATGAGGGCGGTGAGGGCGGTGAGGGCGGTGAGTGGCGTGAGGGCTATGAGTGCGTGAGGGCCGTGAGGGCCGTGAGGGCCGTGAGGGCGGTGAGGGTGGTGAGGGCCGTGAGAACGGTGAGGGCGGTGAGGGCCGTGAGGGCGGTGAGTGGCGTGAGGGCGGTGAGTGGCGTGAGGGCCATGAGTGAATGAGGGGCGTGAGGGCCGTGAGGGCGGTGAGGGGCGTGAGGGCCATGAGGTTCAGTGAGGGTGAGTGAAGGGCTGAAGGTGAGTGTGACTGTGAGGGTGAGGGTGAGTGAGGGGCTGAACGTGAGTGTAGCTGTGAGGGTGAGGGTGAGTGAGGGGCTTAGGTGAGTGTGGCTGTGAGGGTGAGGGTGAGTGAGGGCGACCTAAAATGCCGACCTCTGCACGGAGTTGGAACAGCCAACGTTGAACCCCTACGTCAGAGGCATGACTACGTCATTCTCATATTTTGCTTGTTTTTATTTATCAGAGCGAAATGGAACGATGACGTCATGAGTTTCTCCTCCCGGTGTTGGCTGACCGGGCGTTCACGTGATCACCGTAACACGGATGCGCTAGTTTGCGCTGCCCTGCGCGCTTATCGGTCTGTTTCTCCGCTCCCCTTCTCCTCTTTTGTCTTATCCCCTTCTCCCTCTTCCCCGGGCCATCACCGTCCACGCCATGCGAAGCGACCTGCCCGCGTCCAATCAAAAAAGAAAAAAAGACCGGCCCGCGTCGCGTGTCCTGTTTCTCGCTCCCTCCCGAACGTCACAAGACCACGTGGTTCGAAGTGACGTGGACATGACTCTGACGACCCGAGACCAATGTTGCCTGACGCAACCAAAGTTTCGGTTTCGGTATCTCCTAATGTTTAAATTAGGATTACACAAATAATATTCCACATTTCGCGAATCCGAAGACGTAGAGTTGTTTAGTAGTGCTTTGTTGAGCGGAGTTCCCCTTTAATGGAAACGTGTTTCCCTCTGCATTTTCATGTGAAATGTTTTTGATAACCTCTTTCTGCAATAATGCCTCCAAGGGGATGCAGGTAATCTCAATAAATAAATAAATAAATAAATAAATAAACATAAAATACAAAATTTCCGTATCTTTAAAAACAGAGCGTGCCTAAATTTTTTTACTTCACTGAAAATATATTTACAATATATAAAACATACTTTTCACATACTTCTTTTCTATATTGTCACGAATGACAACTGATGAGGCGGCGAATGACTGAGTAAACTGAACGTTTAATGGGGCGAACTTGTGCCCGAAAATAAAAAGAAAAATGGAAAGAGAAGATAACAGCAGAGCGTCGCGGGCGTCGGAGTCGGCGTAACAGCAGAGTTGAACGCTGAGGCGAGACTGAGTGCAGATCGCCACGCGGAGCCGCTTACGTACGCGTGTTGGCGTCTGAAACAATCGACCTAGAACGTTCGCCGACAAGAACATTCGGAACTCGAACAGTCGAGAGTGTTCTCGAACTCACGGGAACGCAATGCCGAAAGAATAAATAGAAGAGCATTCCACCGTCTGGAATCGAACCTAGACATTCCGCGCGACTGTCAAGCGCGGTAACCACTCAGCCACTAACGCGGTCGCTCGCCCACGCGTGTGGCAATATTACGTTTTAATTACGCGCTGCGCGCGTAGACCGCGCCTGGGGACTGAGGAGCACACGCACATAGCGAACGTTTATATTAGTGAATCAAAAATTAGATACAAATACAATTCACCGACACTTTTCAGGAAACTATAAAATAAAAATTGTTTTTGCATTGGCAATATGAAAATTCCTTATGTTGGCAATATGAGAATTCCTTGTGTGATGAGCCGCAAAAGACGACTCGCGCGGTTCGTGCGAGCTCCGGTGCCGCGCGTGCGAGCGCGAGAGAAAGAGATCAAAATAATAAAGAAAAAGAAGTTCTGCATGGAATCTCGGAGGTTGACGTGTCTTTCCTGAGCTCGGAGCCCTTTCCTCTTGACGACCACAACAAATCGTCACACCTTGCATTGGCAATGCGAGAATCTCCTATTATTTCAAGGGCAATATGGGTGATTTTCTTTCGCCCTTCGCACTTCCTCTTTCTTAAATTTGTTGTTCACGACGAATTGGCTGGTGTATATCAATTCACTCGAGCGAAATGAGACGATTCTTAGGTCAACACTGTTTCGAGAATATTTCCGCGTGCGTGGCGAAGTTGGCAACATGCTTGGCTGGTACGCGGAGGAACGAGGTTCAAAACCCGCTTGAACCCTGCTCGGCCAGGATCTTTCTCCCCAACGTCGGACCTTTCTCTTATATTTGCACCCTTCCGGAAAGTTCCAGTCCATTGTTTGCTATCATGGAGTGTGTCTTCGAGGCATATATGATGCTGGCGTGTTCCTTTTTAAGTTTGTAGGCTCAAGGTCGCCTCGTTAAACATTTAATTTCAGTTCTTTTTTTATTGTATGTTCAGAGCCACCCGTGATAATATTGGGGCGTCTGCTCAAGAACAAGAAAGGGGGAATCTATGGCCGAACGTGTTAACGCATCGCAGCTCGGAGCATGTCGAGCGAAGAAACTCGCTGCAGAAACCAGGGGTCCGGGGATCAATCGCCACCTAGGCCTGTTTCAATGTGAATAAGCATCGGAGTGCAGTTGTGTATCACCACTACGTGATGCATGTTAAGTACTCCGGACTAGCAGTCGTACTGCACAGGCGAAGTTTCTCATCTACAGCGGAGACACCAGGCCGTTACCCATTCGGGCTTAACTTTCCGCTTTTAGCGGAACCCCCAATCCCAATATTCTTTCCGTTCGTTCATCCGTTCTTCCGTCCTTCCGTCCGTCCGTTTCCGCTAGATTTAGCGGGGAAACGGAACTGTTGGAAAGGTCCCGTGGTCTATACACCAATTAAGTTTTTACGCCAAGATCGCTGGGAAAATTGATCTCACGTGACCTGACGTCATGTGACCTATGCACCGATTTTTTTTTCCTTGATAATTTTGGTGGGGAAATATATGACACTTTTGCTAAGCACCAATCCAGTTTCCCCACTAGATTCAGTTGTGGAAATCGATATCACGTGACTGATGTTCCCCCGCTAAATTTAGCAGGGAAATTTACGGCACATGACACACAAATTCCCTCTTAGCATCCCTCTCCTGTCTCCTCCCTTCCTCACCCCATCCCTTCCTCCTCCTAGGGCGTGTCTATCTTGCAGCAGGAAAAACAAGTTGGTTCGCAATATACAAAGTAAAACGCCATTAAGATGTCGAGAAGATATTTTGTAAAATCTTTTCTTCCGTAACTTAATTTGTTGAGCCATGGTCCGAAATATTAGAGAAATGAATACCGTAAATGTCTCTCTTATTTTGCCACAAGCGCTCAGTTCTACTGGTAGATAAGTCTTGAAATATGAGTGATATAAAATATGCTGGCATGTTCAGTTACTGTGGTGGAAAATTGTACCAAATTAAAGGTTAAAGAAGAACCAGAATTGTCAGTTATGTGTGCCGTGCATTAAGTAGTCCCTGTTCAAAAGACGCATTTGTGCCATACACCTGTCTTTTACTCCACTCAGTGCGCTGTCACATTCCTGGGGGTAGCACCAGAAGACGAGTTAGTTTTAAATTTTTTCTTGCACTCTTTCTGCACCACGATCCTAACCGCAGAGCCGTACCATTCTATCATAGAATGCCTGTAAGCAAATCACACGGTATTGAGTCCTTATGAGAAGTGACTTACTTACGTGACCTTCAGGTTTTTATACCTGTGTACATGAGTTAAACTTTACCTTCTTGCAAACATTGCATTAAGACCTTCCGACATGCAGCGAAAGTCAATGTAACACGGCACCTTGGTCCAAATACGCGTCTGTCAGACTGCAGGGTCTTAATCTATCTAGTTGGAGATCCGTTGGCCTGCACTGCTTCTTCGAGCAGCTCAGGCTCGTTTGCGACTACTTGCACATGAAAAAAAAAAAGCTGTGATAAATCATTAGGATTGTACTGTCAATGACAGTGCCGCGGAGAAACAGACAATGCATTATCTTGTGTGACTTTACCCAGAGCATTATGCGTAATAGTAATTGTTAAGTTCAAAAGAGTTTATTACTTAACAACTCTCAATATAAATTGCTCTTGGATGCGGAATTTTTAACTACTTACGAATGGAATATTCGGTCGTTGATTCTGCTAATGGATGGGACCGCCATACATTGGCCTCAAGAGCGAATTGCCGTAATACATCCTTACCTACGGCGGAGGTGGAAACTTCGGGGCCCCTGAAGCTTTTGTTCTGATGACCAAAATTCTGCGCTGAAGTGTGGAGCCCATAATGTCTCCCAGGTACAAGGTCCACGGAGATCTTCATGTATTGATTTCCCAAGGAACGTGTTTCAGGTATGACGAAGTAGGCCTGGCCTCTGCGCTCTGGCAAACTATCGATGGTCTCCCAGCGAACCCAGTACCCGCCTGGTTCGCCATTCCAACGGAGTGGATCTCCAACTTTCATCGAAATTTTCTTGTCCTCTACAGACAAAACTTCAGCATAGGCTGGAGCCGTTGGAGCTGCATGAAAAATATAGACAGAATTATTTTCTATTGCGAAAACTTGACTCCATCGATGTTCACAAAGGCGTTTCTGGTTCAGTGATGATGCGGGCAAGTATATTCAAGTTGTGGTTGTATTAGTATGCTTGCGAGCAGCGCGTAACTTTGAAACCCAATGCCTCATTTAAAACCCAGTGCGTCATGACTCATTTAAAAAATGAGCTTATGGTTAGTGCTTAGTAGCCGATGCATGGATGTTTGTTAGAACTAAATTATTACCGAAAGCTGTGTTTAACCAACTAAGCAAACATAATTATCGTTTGTTTTCTTTTACCAGACCACGTTTTCCATTCATATGTACAGGGTGTTTCACGAAAGGTGGACAAATTCGATATTGTGAAAACTACGCATCGCACCGAAAAAAGGCTTCTGTTGTTGTGGCACTAGGCCTATGTAGTAAAATTATAAAGGTTCGGGATAATTAAGATGTTAATTATTTTCGAGTAATTTTTTTAATATTGAGCTTAAGGGCATGGTTTTATTTGGAAACTTGCTGACCATCATTGAAAAACATTAAAAAAATTGGAGTGCGATAGAATGCACCTGGCTGCATTTGACACCTTTCTGAAGAACAGCACAGCTTCGATGGGTTTTACAGCGGAGCTGTTAAAGGCTAGATTCCCCAGGACAGTGTCCCCCGCAAAGGAATGAAGACGCCGAACTCTGGACACCTACCGCCATCTATGAGCGACGGCGGCAAGCCACATATCTGATTGCCGCCGTCGCTCATAGATAGCGGCAGCCTTTCACTCTGGCTTGCCGACTTGCGGCCGCCCATTACTTTCCGTTGTACAGCTCCGCTGGTCTTCCTTCCTCACCAAAGTGGAAAGGCTGAAAGCTTTTTTTTTTTTTTTTTTAAGTTTCTGTTTGCAATTGGAGCGCTTCTCGGCATCGACGGTACCACGCCCCGGAGAGAAATAGTGCAACCAGCATCTGTTTCGCTGTCCTCGCGCAACGCAGCAGAGGCAGGGTGCACTATTTCTTCACGGGGCGCGATGCCGTCGGTGCCGAGAAGCGCTATGATAGACTCTTCTTGAAATTCAGGGTCATCTGGTGGCTGAAATGGCGATTTAACTTTCGCCGTACTGATGGCGGCAATGTACCTGTAGCCTGCGGTATTTTATCGGGCACCGTCATTTTCGCCAGTCAACGGCAAGCGAGAATGGGCTCCTTCACTGTACAGTTCTTTCTCGATCATCTCTTTCAGTGTCGATGGTCACAAAGATGCAACCAGTCAGAACGAAGCGCCAACTCAGGTAGACGCTTTGATAAAGTTCCATACATCAAGGGGCTTTGAAGTCGATTTCCTGTTACTAACAGATTGACTGGGCCACACTTATAAAAATTAACAGTTTCGCAGCTCTTGCACTCAATTCCTGCTTCGCATCGTGCTGACGTCTCGAATGTATAGGCCTCGAATCCCCAGCTTAGGAGTATCTTCAACAAGTTCCTTCATCAATTAACAAGAAGGCTGCCATTAGTACGGCACGTATGCCATTTTTCAGATGATGATGATAGCGACCAAAGTGTCCAGACTAAATTTCGGAAAGGGCTTACTGCAAACCGAAACTAAAAAACCCGTCGAAGTTGTGCGGTTTTTCAGAAAGCTGTAAAATGCAGCGCGTGCCTTCAATCGCATTCCATTTTTTGTTTTGTGTTTTTTTTTTCTGATCCTCAGCAAGTTTCCAATGAAACCGTGCTCCTAAACTCAATATTTAAAAAAAAAACTTCGTGAAAATAATTAAGAATCTATTTATTCCGGTCTTTAATAAATCTTCGAAATAGGCCCCTGGACTAAACCCAAAACGTCATAAGCCTTTTTTTGGAGCGATGCGTAGTTTTCGCAATATCGAATTTGTCCTCCTTTCGTGAAACATCCTGTGTATACTATATGCAGAGTGTTTCCCGTAATAGTGACAAATATTCCTACAATTACTGCAGTCCAAATAAAAAGATAATTTTCTCGGGACCGCATACTTGTGGTTGCGGACGTCAGAAAATGCGTGATAGTTATTAATGAGTTCGCCAGTTAAAGAACCATGACTAATTAACTTTCTAATTCCTGCAAATAAACTTATGGTTCCCATTAGAAACTTGCTGAGTGTCATCAAAACGACGATGCCAGGAAGCTACACCGGGTGAGCAGGGCGCTACGTTCTAGCCCTGGACGTCAATACATCGGGGGTGGCAGCCGTCTACTTTGACTGGGCCACCACCTGGAGCCGCAGCCTTCAACGAAGCGAGCGAGCGCACCATCAGCCGCCAGAGCTTTACCATCTAGAACGTCCATTGAACAGCCTACCGAAAGTCACCTTGGCTCGCTCGCCTACTGGCCTGAACCGCCGCCGAACCTCCAAGACTCGTGCGGCGGATCAGAAGAGCACGTCGTCCTGAACACCATCAAACCGCCAAGGCTTTCCCAGCCGCACGGTGAAGCCTCCGGACAGCACCCTTTGCCCAGGCACTTCTTACAGCTGGTAGAAGTGTCTTGGCAAACCCCGAACCTTCAACCAACGGTGCTTGCGATGTTGAGAAGACCGCGTCGTCCCCCCCTTGTATATATCATCTCATAATCATCATCACTAGACGTGGCACCGCGGGCCTCCATGGTAAGGCCTTTCCGCGGCGCCACGGCTCTCCAGAGCCAATAAAGATTACGATTACGATTACTAAATCAGAAATTTTCAGATATAGTTTGAGCGCGTGAGAAGCGTAGTATCACACCAAAGTTTCCACTCGTGGAGCATGAACAAAACTAGCGATTTCGGTAAGGCGCCCGCGTGATTCTTTAGTCTCTTATGAGAGCCTCAGTCTTGTACAGAGCGCGACACTGTTAGCGCCAACAAGCGACCGCTGGTTTTTCCAGTTTTTCTCTTTGAAACCAAGGAATGTCATGAAAGTTATTATTGCTACGGAAAGAGCTCATTTAGTTCTATAATGTAAGCGATAAAATTTCGGGCTTGCTAATACTATTTAGAAGCAAAATGCGAAAACATGCCGATGTCGTGTTCGCGCTAACAGTGTCGCGATGTGTACCTGCTCCCCGAGTTTAGTGCACTACTATACGCTTCTCACGCGCTCAAAGTCTTTCTGAAAAGTACTAATGTAGTGGTTTTCGATAACGCTCAGCA